ACTTTTGATGAACCTTGAAATTATTTTTCCGCGTTGTTCAAAATTTGAGATGTTCTTGAATGGACAACTGTTGATATATTGGAATCCCTTGTGATGGAGTGTTCTCAACTTGTCTCCCGGTCATCACTGCAGTTGTGATGTCAAACTCCCCAAAAGAAGTCATCTTCCTAAACTGTCTCCTGAAAGATCGGTCTCGTTCCACACTGCAACTTGGCCGACGAACTTCGACGTTATGCAACCTCAGTCTCTAACTCATTCAGTTTCAAAGCCAACCAAATGATTTTTTTCCCCCCTAATGGACCATGGATGGTGATTCACTCGATACGGCCAACCTCGATCGCTTATATTCTTCTATTTGTCCTTCCTCATCCTAATCCGTGCCTCCTAATTGGCCTCTTTAGGAAGTGACAGTTGCATTTAGGCAAAAGGGTTGTCATTGCATTAGACGAGAGCGCCGGCCCCGAGGCTTACCTCGAATTACACGAGTGTGCCTGCAGCCCCCTTAGCCGCGACGCCGGGACTGAAACGCTATCAGTCCAACTTAATTACTGTCACCGGCCATTGGAATTGACTGTAATGTTTTTTTATTTTCACAACGGAAGGATATTAAAGCCAACTGAATCCTGAGGCCCGAAGATGTTTAAACCTGAGGTCACACAATGTGATCCACGTTTATCTGTGTGTTCCTGTTTTTAACTTGGACACCGCGCGGTAGTTTGCATCAAAACGCTCCCACACGCACACAACGGTGCATCTTTTTTTTTTTTTTTTTTTTTATCTGATTAGCAGTTAGCAGGCATGCCTCCTTGCAGTTGTGTGTGTCGGTTTGTGTGCAACGCAGCACAGCATCAGGCCCCAGGCAGGGCATGGATTTCATTTAGGAAAGTATCAAAGGTTTACACGCTGCTCGCTTTAATCAGCATGTTTATCAGGCAGAGAAAAATTGCAGGAAGCAAGCGCGGGCGGGCGGGAGGGAGGCGGAGGAGGAGGACGACCGCCAGGGTTATCTTAAGGACCAGTAGCCAGGGGGGCTGCGGAATAGAATGGACCGCGCTTGCCGAGAGGCAATTTGGACCTCGGGGGGGACCCACCGGCCATTTGCCTCATTGACCCACTGACACTGGAAGGTAATTCTCGTGCGATTGTTCGTTTCATTTTGAAATGACAATGTCAACATTGTGGGACTCTGGTTTGGGGTCGAAACGATGACGAATCCAAATAATTGCCGAAGAATTGAATCGATTGTTGCACTGATGTATCGTCTCAGACAGAATAATGAAATGTTCTTTCAGCAGACGGCAGAAGGTACTTTTCATCTCTTTTCAAATGTATAATTTGCAATTTTTTTTTTTTTTTTTTAATCATAAAACGCAATGCAGACTTTCAATGAGTCTGAATCTAATTTTGCGGCATGGTTGAACTCTTTAGCTCTGCAACTTTAGCGAAACTTTTGGCACCCCTGTAATCAACCTCCTCTCCCCCCACTTTCATCCCCGCACCA